TTCTTACTTTCTTTCTTTCTTTCTTTCTTTCTTTCTTTCTTTCTTTCTTTCTTTCTTTCTTGGTTTTTCAAGACAGGGTTTCCTTGTATAGCCTTGACTGTCCCCTACTCGATTTGTAGACCAGACTGGCTTCGAACTCACAGTGGTCCACCAACCTCTGCTTCCCAGAGTGCTGGGATTACAGTCACACACCACCAGGACCTGCCCAGTATTTGTTTTTATGAAAATCGTCTGTTACATTTTCTTTAAGTAAGCTCCCTAAAAGTATAACCCATGTTTATTTTTGTATCGCACTATGGTCCCAGCATATGAAATAAAGTTGCCTCCATTAATTGCCACCCAGTCACTTAACAAACACATACATACATACACACAAATTTTTATTTTGCTTTTTACTATGCAGTCTGGGTTGGTTTTAGACTCAAAATCTACTCATAGTTTCTGTGCCAAAGGCAGATCTGGGTTTCAGGAAAAAAAATGAAACTGAAAAATAATTTCCCCAATTCCTGTCCTGTGTAGCTTATCATGTAGAAGAATTTCCACACAATATGAGTAAACAGACTATTCAAACAATAGACTTTTTTAAAGCATAAAAATTAGCTGGGAAATTTAACTAAGAAGGGGGGAAATTACAAAGGAACTGTAATGATACCTGCTGTAAGGCAGTAAAGCTCAGTAAACAGTATGCTGAGGCTGTCAGTCTTGATCAGTAGCTACCAAGTACTGGAAAAAAAGGGAAAGCACTGACTCCATTTTGCTCTTGAGAGTAAACGCCTCAAGTATACAGGATGTTACATATAAAATGAGACACCTGAACCCCAGAGGAGATACTGGTTATCATTCTTATTTAAAAAATTAGTTATTTATATTTAAATAACTACTTAAATTATTATTACACACACACATACACACACTAGTGTTTTGCCTATAAACATGCGTGTGGGTCATACGTATGCCTGGTGCTTCTGGCCAGAGGCCAGAAGAAGACATTGTATTCCTTGAACTGTGCTTACAAATGGTTGTGACCCACCATGTTGGTGCTGGGAATTGACCTTGGGTCCTCTGGAAGAGCAGCCACTGTTGATCCATCTTTCCAGTACCATGAAATGCTGCTTATCTTTCTTTTTAAAGTTCAGAAAAATTTGCAATTATGTTTAGTTGGTATTTTGGGATATTGTGTTCAATTCAATCATACTTATTTTTAAAATTTCCAATGAGTGTGCGAGTAATTAAATGAAAAATAGTATTTTCAAATAACTGCTTCAGGTTATTCTAAAATTCAGCTAAACTGGAAGTAATCTATCTCCCTCTTTCTTCCCCTCCCATTTTGTTTTTTTCTGTGTCAGGTTTTCCCTAGGGAATCCAGGTTGGCAGAAATTTCTCATTACCCCTCTCAGCCTCCTGATCACCGAGACTAGAGGCATGTGCTCACATACCACCACAACTGGCTAAAAAGAATGTTTTCAAAATTTTATTTTACTTAAATCAATATTTTAACAATGATATATGCCCTTAAACATGAGCATGTTAGAAAAAAAAAGTATATAAATTTTGACTGCTTAATTTTACTTTTGTCAACATCCACATAAAAATCAGATAGTTTGTGTGTGTATGTGTGTGTGTGTGTGTGTGTGTGTGTGTGTGTG